TTGCCATAAATTTATCTTTGTTTTGTCTTCTTTTATCTAGTTATTTTAAAATGTAGTCCTCTATTATGGTCTAAACTGTCTAAACTGACTAAACTTGTTATCAGCTTGTCAGTCATCTATAAAGCATTGTGAGCTGCATTAACTTGTCTGAAAGGTGCTGTATGAAGAACGTTTGACTGACTGGCTGATTGATTGATTGTTGAACAATGCAAGGTTGAAACTATTTGTAAAAATCGGCTTTGCAAATGCTTTACCGTTTTGGATGGCCTCTTTAAGCCATCAAAAACTATTTTAAAGTGACAGAGAATTTAAACTGACATGAAGAAAACATCAGATTGTCATTGAAAAACACATCAGTATGCAAAAATACCAAAGTCCTGTGTTTTATGTTTCACTGCCAATACAACTTTTCCAGTGCAAGTATTTCAATGCCAATGTGTCCCTTTTCAGTTCAGATTTTCAATGCCACATATTATTTTCACTGCCCTTGCTCCAAATGAAAGCATCTCATAATAATAAATGATCTCTCTTGCTTGTCAGTACATTACATTCTGAATAGCACTAGTGTTATCTTTAAGCATCAGTTAAAACAACAGCGACAATGATGTAATAACAATAACCCCTTGACGCCTTTTTACAATTTTTTTACAATTACATGAAAAAATTATTATTTGTGTTTTAGCTTTCAAGCTGATGCTAAATTAAGTGGTGATTATTAACTTGTCTATAGCAAGAGGTTCCCAGGTACGTATCGAATATGTACAAACTGGCACATACGCTCAGCTGAAGTCTGAATGGAAGTGGTGTGAGGCGAATTCGCGACAATCAGCATTAAGGGGATAATGTCCAATTGCCTCTGATGCCTTCAAAACTCACCTGTTTGGTTTGGTGCGTGTTTGCCTGTTTAGTTACGTGAAAGCTTGAATCCAGCTCTGGTGCATACCAAACAACTGGACAGAGACCCCCTGAAAAAGAGGTTCTCTGTCCACTCCCAAGCAGATTCTGGTGCAGTTTGTTTATGGTCAGAAAGGAAAATATATCATCCTCACAACACATCTTCTGGTCATGATCTGTCAGGAAAGTTCTACAAAAACTACAAACTGATCACACTAAAATGTCCCATAACATCGCCAGTAATGCTGCAATTGAACTTTAATGCTCTGACAGACAACTCTCTACAGTCCTAAATCGCCCGTGATCTCACTGAACAAGTGTGACACTTGCTTCACTGACTAAAATCATAAATACATATCATAAAAACAGGTTTATTAGCAAGTAGGCTTAAGACAACAACAAACTGAGCTGCCTGGATAAAAAAAGTTAATTAGACAAGCTGAAAATGTTGAGAGGCAAACTGTCAATGGACGTTTGAGTAACAGAGCACACAAAAAACTCACTGTTAGATCTGCAAGTAAGATAAATGAAGGACAACTTAATCTTCACCGGAATAGCGGAGACCCCTAACGAAGATACAGGAGAAACTTAAAGACTTCCTCCACAAAGAGATGGACTTAACCAAGGACAATGTTAAAGCTATATCCTTCAGCTAGAGCCACTGTGTTGAAAAAATGAAAATCTTCGCTAAAAATGTATCTATAAAATCTATAGCAAAATCTCCACCTGAGACCTTTTTGTGGACAGGCCAAAAAGGTCTCTTGCCAATTCTTTGCTTGATGCGCAGTCAAGGACATCAGGATAGTCTGATTGCAAACAAACTCTACTTTGAAATTAAACTCTTGTTCCAAACATCACAAGCTGGCTGCAAAGAATTTAAAATATCGACTATATTCTCGTGGGCCAACAAATGTGCATAAAGAGGAGAGAGAGGAGAAAAGAGAAATTAAATGAAAATAGTTTTGAAATTACATTGGACCTTATTTGGACTACTCACATAAATAAACTGTATACCTGTGCGATAAAGAACATCTGTGGGTGAGTCTGTGAGTATGATGAAAGAACTAGCCCACTGATGTAGCAGTCTCTACTTCTGTTGTCTTTCAGCAGTTATTATTATTTTGCCCAGCCTTGCGCTAACGGTTTTTTTTTTATAGCAGTAGGGGGATTTGTTATAAGAAGAAAGAGGAGAGACTCACCCAACCAGTCAATATGGTATAGCCTATATGTCTACTTTCACTCCTTTTACAATGTGAGTTGTGTGTGTGAGAGAGAGAGAGACAGTGGAGTGGAGATATGAAATGAGGAAGTTGTGGAAGGTGGGAGCAGGCTATAGCTTGGGGGGGGGGGTGCTGTGAAGGTAATCAGGATACTCTGTCTCTTATATAAACACTGCTGCTCCTCAGATTCAATGTGAAATAACAAAATGACTGTGCCATGGTTGAATAATAGAAACGTGTTAACACATATGGGTGTATATGGAGTGAATTCGGGGGGGGGTGAAAGAATTTATTTTTGGCTTTGATCTATAACAGAAGGGAAAGCAGACAGGCCTTGTTAGTGAAAAAGACAAGCAGAACTTGCTTTGATTTTGCAGGAACTTAATAGGGTAGAAATATGGTTAGATAAAGGTTAGGCAGGTAGAAGAATGCAAATTCCTGGATTTAGGTTAATTATTACATGAAATTAGACAATGGATTCATGGTTCAGTTGTTTATTTATCTATTTGCTGTTTGCTCTTTTGTTTTGCTTAAATTAAAATAAAGTAATGCAACACTGTTTTGTGGGTTGGGTGAACTAACATTAATGTATAGATATATAATAAAACAATAAGTTCTCCACTCCATCTTCGCTTGATCGTCGTCGCTCCAGTCCTGGTGCCACTATTACGTTCTAAGCTCTCCTGTTCCTTGTCCCTTAACCTGTTGTCTCCCGAGACTAACCCTGTCTTTTCTTTCTCCCCGCCAGGTCCACTCACCTCCGCCATCCAGTCAGTCAGCCGGGCTCGCCTACCTGCCTTCTCCCCTCGCCTCGGCCTCCAGCCCCCTCTCAGTCGCCTCGCTCGAACCTTGCCAGCCCTGCCTGCTCCTCGGTCCTCCGTGCCCTCGTCCGCTGGCGTCCTGCTCACCTCATCTCACCTCCCAACTCCCCTCTTCCCTTTTTTCCCCTCAATAAACCTCTTTTTGTAATCTGACAAGCACTGCGTTTGGGTCCGTTCTGTCTACACCTATAACACTCCTGGGGTGAATGGTGTGCGGGCCCCCAGCAGACGGAGACTGGCCTGTGTGGTTATCACCAGCAGTATTCCAATCATTTCTGTATTATGATGAGCAAGATTCACATAGCCAGTTAGAACTGCAATGGTGTGGCTGTTACCAAAAAAAGAAGCATGGCTAAAAAATAAAAACTACAGCATCTATTTCCTATAAGAAATACACTCCAGAAAATAGAAAACATATTGTCACTCCAGACTGGAGAATCTATGTCTCTTTACGGGAAAATAGCCTTAATAAACTATTTTATAATATCACATTTTATATAAATATTAACTTCCCTAACAACCCCTTCTGAAGAACTGTATAAAAATATGAACAAAGAACATTTGCATTTATATGGAATAACAAACCTGATAAAATGAAAAGAGCATATTTATATAATACAACTGAAGAGGAAGGCTTGAAACTTTTGAACTTAAAAGGATTACACTACTGCCTAAAAGCATCTATCACACCAATGTTACAATGTTATACCAAGACTATATATAGGAGAGGATTTGAGAGGGCTCTTTCCATATCTACAGTAAAAGTTACCCACTTCAACCAGCTAAAAACAACTTATTTCCTTCAATGTCAGTTTTCATGGAAGACACTATCGCAAAGTGCAGTACCAGTATCACCCCCCAGATAAACCAGATAACAAATAACATCCATATTAACAAATAATAACATTTGTAAATTATTTAATAAATAGAAATAGAAACAATTTGACTTTTTAGAAACCTTCACAAGTATATGGTCCAGTATATACACTATGACAATGTAAGAAAATTACTGTATCAACATGTGGAAAAATGCTATAGAGAGCCTAAGTCACTCGCTTCCGCATCCGGTTGATGGGACCTTATGTTGGAATAAATATATCAATGGCGAGAGACAACTTATTTTTTGATCCTGTTTGAACTGTGCCCTGAATTACATATATGATGTTTGTCAATTTAAAAGATAGTTTTGTACATTTTGTGTGAAAACCGTTCAATGAATATCTCTCGTCTCGCACAATATACACCAACATGTTAAAGCGGTAATGCTAGCTAAAGTTCATTGCTTGGTTGCTGCTAGCTAGATAACTTAGCTATGTTCCACGCAGAAATATATCTCACCTGACTCTCAGTCCTTTCATCTACACATGTAAGTTATCTGACGTTAGCTTCAGTCATTGAGAGAAAAAGACATCACACATGCGACTTTTGGGTTTGTGGTCCTTGTAATTATGTATTTTCACATACTTCAACAATTTTACATCAAACTGCGACTTTACTGACTTTTAAATGTACATTTTAAAAGATAAATGTGTAAGATTTAGTGACATCTAGTGGAGAGGATTGTGAATTGCAACCATCTTTCCAGTCTACCACTGCCCCCTAACCTTTCAAAGAGTGTAAGACAGCTACGGTGGCTGACACAGCACAAAAGGTTTGTCTTCTGAGACAGCAGAGAGTAGCCAGTCAAGAAAGGAGGTTTATATAAGTTAAGTATATTTATCAAGAAATTATATTTAATTAATTATTCAGTAAAACATTGTGACATTGCCACTGACAGATAACATGGAAAATATTAGCTAAGTGTGAAACACTGTCACTGTTTCTGCACCACAGTGCATTACATTACACATTAAATAAAGCTTGTACAAACATTGACAAGGGAAACACATTCATTCTCTCTGTGATTATGGACCCTCGCCAAAACTGCAATAATATCTGGCCCGCGGCCAGATTATTGAGATTTGATAGCGGAAAAAAATATAAATGAATACATTTTTTGATAGCATTTGAACTGAGCTTTTACTTTGAAAATTCTATTATTAACGACATTAAAAGAGTTTGTTACCTGCTTGTCCGTAGGTTGATGGATATGGATCAAACACTGCACCTAACCGAAAAACATGTGGATGTCAGTTTTATATACAGTATTATATTCTCATCCACCATCTAATGGTTGAAAATATTGCTCAGATGCAAAACTTATTTGCAGGCCCCTGCTATATATTATTACTTCTTTGTCTTCAGAGATTGTATTATATTCACAATTAAGCATGTGCAGGAGTGTGTTCATCCCGGCGATTGGTCCACATCAACCTCTGACACTTATTTTTATGACCCCAGTATCTCCAGTCAGAGAAAATTCCTGCTTTTCTCAGTTACGGGAATGCAATCTAACGTTTTCTGATGAACTAATCCCTGTTCACATTGCCTGCATTCAGTCGACGCGATACGTTGGCGTTAGCTCGCCTGTCTGCTTTTCAGTCACCAATGTTATTTGTGTCTCTTTCACTGAAGACTCAGCAATATGAGCATAGCTACATGTATTGGATGATAATGAAACGGTTAGTGAGCTAGACTGAATATTTTATTAGATTATTGTCAAACTTTATGAGAGTTATACCTCAGTAAGTAACATTACTGTAGTGAATGCATCTTCCTCTGCATTGTTGTCCTGCGTCGTTATGTTGCAGTATTGTATATTATTTGGGTCACGTAAGTTACAGTGACTGAGACGGCGGAGAAGTTGTAAACTTGAGTATCGGTAAAACACCAATAAATCTAAATTTAACAGTATGAAGCAAACAGCGGCAGATCCGTGCTAATGTAGCTGGTTGCCTCTGCCTTTCATCACTAGGCTAGTATAAACAAACTGCTCATTTGCTTTGTACCATGACATAATTTCTTGCAGTCTAAAATCAACATTTTGACATAATACCAGTGGTACACAGGAAAGTAATATGAATCACGTTAGCTGGTAAAGTTATGTGGAAAGCCATCCGACTGTAGTATTTTGCAGCGGATAATGTTAGCAGCACGGCATTAGCCAATGAGCTAACGTTATTTAACTTGAGCCAACTAAAGCACATCACAATATATTTAACATGCTTTGCAGTAATGTTAGTTTACTCTGTGTCAGTTCCAAAACTAAGCGGAGGTCTCTCCGTGACTCATGCCTTTGTGATGTTGACATCGATATGACAGGCTTCAGCACTTAAAACTTTGTTGTTGGTTTTTATCCTTACATGGAGTTTATGTTGGAGTCTGTGTTGTGCTGGGAGCTGGTCGTTTTGTGTGGACTGCATGTGCTGCGGTGTTGTCGCTATAGTCGGATAGAGGCTCGGGAGCGCACACAGGGCTACATCCCAACTCGATACCTTCACATAAGATGTATAATATAACCATATACAATAAGATATCCTGATTTTCAATCATCATCATATCATGTTTATACCAAATATCTTTCTTTTAATCATTCAATACTGTATATTACTTATTGCATTGTTAAGCTCTGTGTTTTGCAGATGGAAGTACGTTGCACTTCCCTTTTCTCACTCACTGTTGTTACTAAAGGGAGAAAGGCTCAAGTTTTCTTCTTTGCAACCTAATAGCAAGAGCGTTGGAACATATTTGACAATCTAAACAAAATGGCTCTTCTATGCGTAATGGTATAATCTCAGGTAACCAAAATGCTATGGGGTGGACGAGCCTATGAGAATATGCAATAATGCGACCACAAAGTCGATTATCGATCTTTAACCTAAGATGTTCACTTGTACACCTAGTACACTTATGAACCACCCAATGCTCGAACATGATAATTGTAATGGCTGTTGGGCCTCACATCCATGACGAACTAGGATGGGCCTTCAGATCACTGAGGAGGCTTTCCATAAGTCTGTAGACAAAGAACAAGCTAAAGACAAAGAAGAAGGCCGTAAGCCTTGTCATGCGGCTTGTCCTTTACAAAGGGGTTCAGAGAACAATGGAAAGCCCAGATGACCCCTATTCAGTTAATTCACACCTACCTGTGAACTCTAACTTGAAACCACACAAAGGGTTTGTATTGGCCGAAGCTTTTAGGGGGCGCAGTAATCCCAGGAAGTACAGCCATTTTGTGAACAGAGGTATAAAGCCGAACAGCAAAAACCCCTCTGGGCCGTTCCCAGTTCTTCACGGGACTGTAAGGAGGTATTTTCTTTCAGCGCTGAAATTTCTTTGTTCCTGAATACAGACTTCACTCGCCAGATGAGCTACTCTGTTTCTTCCTTCTACCTCTATTATTTTTTTCTTTGTGTTACCAACACAATTTAGCACCCAACCACAATGCCTATCCCTGTAGGTGGTGGGCCCACAGTATGTAGTACATAGTATGTTGTACACAACTGTGTAATGGCACATATATGTGTAGGTGGACCTAGTGGTATTCCATTCTTGCATAGCCAGAATATCTGCACACTGCGTTTTAATGCTGTTCCAGCAGTGGAGCAAGGGGTGGCTGATCCCATATCATTCTGGTATGGAGGTGGGGTTAGAAAGACGCTATATAAGTCCAGTCCATTACTATTTACACACGGTAGATTGGCACCTATGTCGTAATGGAAATAGTTCAGTAACATTTTATTTAACATTTCTTGAATTGGAATGTCCTTCATAGATTATACATTTGAACAGAATTCCACAGAAGTTTATGTCTTTATTCTTATTTTGTTTTGGGGTTTAATGTTCAAAATATCATCACAGAACATCATTATTGACCTTAACAATACCAGCTCAATACAAGCTAACTGAAATACTTAAAGTATGATGAAATCTATCTGACTGAGCTTGCTCTTTAGATGTTGCAAATATCAGTGTCCACATTTTATGCATGATGTAGATAAACCTGTAGATAAATCCTGCTAAGACTTGCCTGCAGGCCCGATACCAGACTAGACTGTGTTATTGATCCATATTTGTGAAACCAAGGCCCATGCACCTGCCTGTGCTCAGCGTGACGTCAATGAACTGCAGCTGCTCTTATGTGCCTGTTTCCTTCCTCCTGTTTGATATTCCCGTCCATGCCTGTTCCAGGGAGCCGCTGACAAAGACATCCGCATACTGAGGCAAGGCGAGGCGGAGCGCCGCTGCATATCGCCCGCACTATAATTACCCCTTAGCTCCGTGCAACTTTAGAATAACAAATGGGTAATCAGTCGTGTGTTTGCAAAGCGTTGGAAAGAATCAGATGCAACATAACAACAACCACGAACAGGAAGATGGAAAGATTCACACCAAATTTTCAGCCTCATCCCAAAGAGGCTGCTGCACTGCTGGCTCACTGAATTGGAGAGGAAATGTTCTTTCTGGCTCAGCCATGCCCCGGGGAACACGCCGAATACAGGCCTCCAGCAACTTCATTTTCCAGCACATGAAGCTCTGAAAAATTGTGATTAAATCAATTCTTGCAATTTGCAATCCCCCAACTCTCTCTCTCTTTCTCTCTAAAACTCGCCAGTGGCATCTGCATCTCCTGTGGTCAATTTCAGTGTTACACAAGGATTCAGTGAGACCTAGTTAAGATGTAGAGAGGCTGGAGAGAGCATGAGAACAGGTAGTCAAGCCTTTTATGGGTGTAAAGAGGTGCTTGAGTGATTTAGTATTGAATTTTTATTAAAGAATATTTAACAAATACATTAATTAAATGGAGCAACCCTTAGTCAGTGAGGGCTATATTTATACTTGTGCCGTGTGTAGAGAATTCTTTCTGATGGCTGCCCCAGTGACTGGACCTCATTTGGGCTCCTCATGCCATATTAACGCAATCACATGCCCACTGCCAGGAAGTGGAATTCAATTAGTGCAGCAGCATGGCCCAATGAAATGGCACCCTGACCAGCAGTTCAGGTGAGCGGAATTAATGAGGGGAAACAAGCATTCAGGAAATTGAGTCCTGGACCTTCAGACAGCCAGTTCAGAAGGTTTGAAGTAAAAAACGAGGCCAGAGGCATTTATCCAAGGAGAAAGCAAGTTATTATTATATTATTGCCAATGTAAAAGGTACACGTGAAGGAAACTCTTATATCAGTGCAATATGAATGCTGAGATTTGTTGTGCTGAAAAAATGCAAAAATAAATTGCACTATTGAATGTGGCAATCTGTTGAAAAAGATGTTTATCAAAACCTCATTACCAGTTACTAGGGGTGCGACGAGACACTTAACTCACGAGACGAGACGAGATTTTACCACAATTTTGAAGAAATCTTTAATTAGCTTAACTGACAACTCAAGATTTTGGAACCATTGGTAAGACCCTGTGTGAGGATATCAAGCAGCAATCAGGCTAAGAGAGAGTTAGCAGATATAGGCAGGAGCCTGACCATTCAAGGCTTTTAAAACGAGTAGTGACATCTTAAGATAAATTCTAAAACCCTGGCCTGGCATCAGCGTTTTGGATAAGTTGTAGTCTTCTACAGTGGATAGAAAAAGTCTACACACCCCTGTTAAAATGCCAGGTTCTTATGATGTAAAATAATGAGACAAAGATAAATCATGTCAGAATTTTCCACCTTTAATGTGACCTATAATGTGAACAATTCAATTGAAAAACAAATTGAAATCTTTGAGCATTATCAAGCATTGTCAAACTGCGTGGTAGAACCAAGGAAGCGACCTCTACAGAAAAGCTAGATGCTGCTATCGAGGCTGTTCTAAATTGATTCAAGTAATCACTCTGCGCCACTTAAAAAAATCAAACCAGTAAGTTGGCATGGCTAAGCATCAGTGGCCAAGTTTCCATCCAATTGTCATGCGAATTTTAAGTGTAATTTTGAAATGTCGCAAAAAAGAATAATATTGCGAAATCGGTGTGTTCAGCTGGTTTGGAGCGAATAAACCAGGCTACGGCAAGCGTAGTTACGTCAGTAGTTGACGTTACACATGGCTGTAATAAATAAGATGTATGGGTTCCAAACCAGAAACAAAACTAGTCGCATGAACCTGATGGCCATTGATCTTAGAAAAATGGAGAGAGGTCCTCAGAAATATGTTTCAAGCGGGCAAGTTGCTATGTTATGTGAATATCCAGTGTTATGCTGAGTTTTGCATGCACCTCCAAATAATGCTTTTA